AATTTATGCCCACGTATATTCTTCAAGGGCTGTTACCAATTTTTAGTATTTATTTCGCGAAGAGGTCGCTTCTTGATAAAAATTTTAGCCAAGAGGTTGGCTCCTTTTTGTTCAATTTTCTTAATGAGATAAAAGCTCCGCTCGGATGATTAGAAAGCATCAATTAAAATATATCTGTAAAAAGTTGTATAGAGTTCGAGCAATTATCGTGTTCACAATCGAAATGGAGTTCGCCATGAATTGAGTCTCCTGTCTCTCATGTGGCACATAATTAAAGATGAAATAGATAAAGTAGAAGTAAATGGGGGGGGGGCGGGAGGGGAGGGAGGGAGGGAAAGGGGTGGCTGTTGTTTATGAGTCACTTTGTCAAGGCTAGTAAATCTCTATGAACCGTAATCTAAATAAATATTTACTAAAGGGCCTCTTGTATAACAAGCAAATTAGGATTATCGGTCAGAAGGTTGGCATTTAAAAAAACAGCAAGATGGATAACGAAACATCAGAAAGTATAGAAGTGTGAAGAAGTGACCTCGGTCTCCACTAAAACCCTCACAATGGCCAATTTTGTCCTTATGTTGGTCCACGTGCTTGCAAGCATTTCCGTAATGACTGACTTATCCTACTTCCAATTCTTCAGTGCCAAAGTCATGGTAGCCAATTAAACCTAAGTTATTGATCATAATAGAGTTCGACACAACACAATTAGGAGGCAAGGGTAGAGTAGCCAGTGAGTTAAGGTAGCATATGAACAGAAGGAGGATGCTTAGGTCAGGTAAAAACTGGGAAATTTTTGGACAAAAAGTGATGATTCGAGAATTTAATTAAATAAGTTATAGAGCTTGCATAAATTGCTAACAAGGCATAAGCATTGTGACCTATGTCGTTCAACTCGATTTTCGACGTAGGCATTGATTTATCATTCTTAAACAAGGGGAAGAAAAATCGCATTAGTGAGAGAAAGCTCGAACTACAGGGTGTAATGAAGGAGTGAGAGGTTGGCAAATTTTTGGGAGACGATCATTATTGTTCACCTCCGAAAATCACACCCTCAATTTGACCTTTCATATTACTATGAGCTTAAAGTGTAATAAAGTAAAGATAAAATCCACATAATGAAAAATAATGGTTATGTTCTGTTGCGATACAATGACTTTACTTAAATACGACAGTTTTTCTCACATTTAATAACGGGCACAATAGTACTTAATAAGCCGTTAATTCGAGTTGCATATTTAGACTCGACGCCCATATGGTTTGATATGAGATAAGATTCAACTCATGTAAACTGTTAACAGCATTAAATAAAAACTATTATTATTATAGAAAGTAATAAATGATAATTAATGAATAAGGTTACATGGGGTGATTTCCGGCTAGTTTCTTTCTGCGTGTCGAAACAGGAGTAAAAGTGTAGCACAGATCTCGGAAGGGACCTATATGGCAGAGAGAGGATGTTGGTGGACTATTCAAGGCATAAATTGTGTATCTTTAGAGGATACTACACAACCAAGCGTTGACTAAACCTTAACAATAGTATCCGTCAAAACCCCTGGTATAAAATTTCTCCCTAAATAAGATAAGCCACCTCAAGAGTACCGAGGATATTATTACAAAAACAGTTTTAAATTTAATTGGCCATGACATATTATCAACCTTATTTACTTAATACTAGAAACCGACAGTCAAGTTTTTGAAATTCTAATTAATTTTTTTCATTCCAAAATAGTAAGTGAATCAATTCTGTTTTGTGCCTGTTTATATATATATATATATATATATAATTAAGTTAAAATCTGTGCTCAGTATGTTAAAAATTTTGAAAGAATATCTTGAATACGCACAAAAAGGTAAGACTAAGTGTGCTGATGGCATAATTAAAATGATTATACGGATTGTTAGCAGAAGTAATTTTTCATTAATGCCTGATAAAAATATTTTAAAACGGTGAGTAAACTTGAAACTTTATTTAAGATAGTGATTCAAATATATCTCAATGAAGATGGTTAATGCAAATTCGTTTATATTTATATATGACCCTTAAAATATTTAATTAATGTGCACTTTAGGTGTGAGTCGTCTTTGCACGTTGCCATATTTTAAATATTATATGTAGTTTACTTGTATTCATTGAAGTATTAGTGGCATATTTCCATATTATAGTATTAATTGAGGTGATCTCAGAGTGCTTTTGTGTAAATATGTTTTGTAAATCGTTTTTCCTTTTTGTAACTCATTAGGGCTTTTGCTTTCATAGCTATAATCGCAAATGCAGTCCATTTTTCTTCAGGTTTTTTACCCCTTTTAGCTATGTCTCGTCCTTACAACCAGTTACAAAGGCAGGTATTAAAGCTTTACAAGGATTATATGATAGCACTTCGTCCGGGAAGTACAGCGAAAATCGAAGAATCAGCAAAACCTCGAATCAAACAAGTCGTTAGAGAAGAGTTTCGCAAAAACGCTTTCTCCCTTAAAAAGACTCATTTTGTGAGAATCGAGACTTTACTCAGACAGGGCCAGCGACGACTTGAAGACCTTAACGAGGGTCGTATTGCGGGAATATCAACAGTCTCTTTCCCTTCCAAAGATAAGGAATAATGGCTGCTAAGCTCTTGCAGTGTATTGTCCGTAGTCTATTTCCCAAAAAATGTGGATTGGTTTCTGCCTTTGGCTATGGCTCTGTTGCTGTTCCTCAACATGGCCGTTCCACTTCAAATTCCCAACTAGATATAATTTTAATCGTCGAGGACCCCCTAAAATGGCATACTGTAAATCTCCAAATTAATCCAACCCATTATAGCAGTCTTGCGGGTCTTAACTCAGGTTATTTTCTGAAAAATATTGTCTCGAAATGGCCTCATCCTGCTGTCTATTATAATCCTCTTGTCACTTGGCACGACCCGACTAAATCGTTTCCCTCTCAGGCCCTCAAATATGGCGTTGTTGGTATTGATAAGCTTTTGACTGATCTTAACACTTGGTCTGATTTGTATGTTGGTGGTCGACTGCAAAAGCCTGTCGTATTTGTACCCCAATATGAGCCCAAGGGAAACTTGAGTTCTTCTCTTAACAACAATCTCCGTGCAGCTTTGGCTTTCTCTCTTCTACAGTTTGATTTTCCTTTGCTGGAAGAGGATGCTTTGTATCATTCTCTTGCATCCATTTCTTATCGCGGGGATTGGAGATTGTACTTCGGTGAAGATAAGAAGAAAATCGAACGACTTATCACGGGTGAACCGCGAAGAGCGAGTTTCCGTGAACTTTATCTTCCCATTTTTTCTTCGGAACCATTCTCCTCTCTTTTCACTCTTGAAGTCCCTTGTGATTTAAAATCGGACCTATGCATTCATTCTAAAAAGAAGGGTGCGATTGTTGAAGAACTTCTTGATTGCCTACCAACATCACTTTGTCAACTAGCTGCTCAGGAACTTTCCTCAAGATCTTCAAGACTCAAATTAGCCGAAATGAGTCATGAAGAGAGGCGAAAGAGACTGCTGAATTCAGCTGCGTCAATTGTTCGCTGGGCTAGTTACAGGCAAACCGTCCTTGGTTTATTTTCTGCAGGTCTTTCTCGTTCCGCAATCTATTCATTTGCAAAATTCCGCAAGATGTTGGCTAGTCTTTGATTTTAAAATCAATTTGTAGATAGTTCTTTTTAAAATAAAAATGCGACTCTCAACGTTTATTCTTTCTTGCCTTGGATTGTGCACAGTGTTGGCAAGTTGCTTGTTTTGGACCGAATTTTCACTCGTTTTTTCCTATTTTACGCTAATGGCGCATTTCCCCCCTTTTATTTGAAGACTGCATCGCTTCGTTAGAATGTTTCGTTTTTTGCTCCAAGCAAAGCAGGAATTTACTCACTTCGTTGGTTGCATTTGTCGGATTTTCTTTTTCCTGGGTGACACGTATCACTGTGGTTAGAAGGTATCTCTATGCTATTACCTTGTGTCGTGGCTATCTAAAGACTGTCAGTTAGTTAATTATGTGTGTGCTGGCTAAAAAGTCATGGGCTTTAAGCATGTTAACGAATTACTATTGTGTGTAGTAGCCAATCCTCTTGATTTATTGGGTCTAGTTAGGGATAGTTTGCCAATCAGAGTAGCATGATTTTGTTTGGGAAACTTATTCCAATTCTATTATGTCATATTTCATGAGTTAGATGTGGTCGAATGCACTGGTTGACAAAAGAAGTTGAATGCGAGTTTATTATCTGATAGCTTCAGCCCCTTTTCTTGTACATACTTCTACGAGTTCCCAGGTCATCATTGTTTCAAATTCTTAACTATTTTAATCCTAGGCGATAACTTTATGTTCACAAGAAAACCAATCGGGTTTCGAAAGCGTTTCTAAACGTTTTGTTCTTGGAGAACTTGATGGCCAAGTAACGTTGTTAATCTGATCTAACTCACCAATTCCCTTCTACTGCTCTATAGCACAGGTTCACTCTGTCGTGACTTCTAATGCGTTGATGGAGCTAAAAGGAGTCTTGTGAAATCTGCTAAAAACTCCATTGCTGTCCTATACATTTTTCATCTTCATTGCACATTCTTTTCCAAAAACACCCACAAAGAGTTTAATTTATGTGAAAAAAAATAAACGGCAATTATTATTGTCCATTCGAAAATCGTCATTTCCTCCTCACGAAATTGTCAGCAGCTTGGTGCCTTGTCTTATTCGTGTGCGCAAAAGATCAATCACTTATTAGTTGATGCACACTTACAAAATCGATAATTACGCTTATGGATACGTATTATAGCTATCATGAAAACCAAATAAGCAGGTATAGAATAGCATTTTCGAAAGCTTTGCTTGTTTAACTGGCCTAACCTCATTTTGATAAGGAAATCGTAAAAGCGGAAGTTAATAGATAATGTAAGAATGGAGGTGGTGATTGATTTGTCCTTATAAATTCGTCGATGGTAGGTTTGTGGCTAAAACGCCTATTTTCAAAAGCAAAATATTCAGCTTATTTTTAAGTTCATACTCTTAACTACTAGTATGTAAAGCCAGTCAGAGTATATACTGGACTTATAGATTAATTGTTTACATTTATTGGCAAGTAGCTTAGAGGTCTATTATAAGCCTGGTCTTATTTTTCCTGTTCAGGTTCATGTTTCGAATGTCAAAAACAATGACCTCTCGCTGTATTCTGCAAGGAATTAAGTAAGAAGAAAGCTCAACCTTCTGGTTGGCTGAATTACTAGTTAGTGTGAGCTTAATAACATTCATGCTAAATACTGTTTGTCGAATGAGAATATCGCTGACAGAAGGATATGAATGTAACCTTTAACCCCCCCCCCCAACATTAAGTTGAAAATGGTTGAATTCAGTTGCCTACACGGAAGTCCTGACAGCTGTAGTAGCTAAGCCCTGGATAACGAATGAGGGTAGCCAATAATAGGCAACCTTTATGGCAGAAACCGGACCGCTCTCACTACTCCTCATGGAAAATTTTTAAATGAATATGAGTCAATTATTACGATCACATTAATACCAATGGTTAGATTCTAAGCCCGATATACTGTGGTTGTAGTAAATGCCTACAAGTTTTCTTGAAACTGTCCCCTAGGGCAAATGCAGAATCAGCTCGGTCCAGTTTCACAGGCCGATTGGCCAAGAATCGAAGCCGTTGCTGAGTTTAGATTACGTACCGGACACGATTGCTTGGCAAAAAGCCTTCACAGATTGGGAGTATGCACTCAACCCACATGCCCTCTATGTAACCTACAGGAGGAAATGGAGAAGACCCACCTGATTCGGTGTCCAGCCCTAAAGGCAACGACGGAAAGCCAAAGATACTGGTAAGCAAGAAGACAGCTAATGAATTGCTATTAATTAACTGCTATATATGTACCCCCCACCACCCTTGGGGGAAGCTGAAGTCAAAGTTTAAGGGCTAATGATAAATATCATAAAGCCTGCCATTTGAAATAAATAAAGTTTCACAGGTCAGTGCCTGATGGAGGGCTGTGATAGTGTAATTGCCTTAGCAAGAAGAATATTAAAACAATAGGAAGAGAGAGTGAGCGTGACCTTGGTTTCATCTGATTATCAACTATGGCTACAAACTCCAAGAAATGATTCCTATGTTGACTTATGGTTCCTAGAATCTCAACTAGGGTATTGTACTCGATGTTAAAAATATTTTCACTTGCTTGATAGTCATGATAATCTCAGTTGACTGACCGAAAGATAATAATTGAACGATTGGTCTTATGCACACTAATTCACCTAACACTTTTGTTTGCCAGAAGGTAGTAGAGGAAATTTTAGTCAAATATATCGTGTATCCTCTAATCAATCTCCTCTTCGTCCATATTGCTCTGCGTACTGTAAGACCTGCTTAATTGGCTGGCGAGGTGCATGGCTTGGCTAACCTCTAGGTTACCAGTCGCAACTCGTTTTGGTGAATAACGATACAGTTTTCATGCGATCATTAATTGTGGTTTTGTTTTCAAGGTTTTGGTGTGATGAACTTATTAGAAAGTGCATGCGTTTATGACAGACCCAAAAATATAGATATATTACAAGGAGCGGGTGCAAGTGAGAATCTTGCCGGCTTAACTTCGATAGAGTGGCATGAAACTGAGCGTGACCTAATCTTGCCTCAATAACCTTCCGGTTTCGCCTTCCTCATTGGCTAACCCCCTCTGTCTTACGTTATCCGTGGGCTTCCTCTCGGATAGCGCAGCTGCGGGCCTACTTCTAACACACTTGTCCTTCACATGTACTATTAATCAAACGGTTCAAATCTTCTTAATTAATTGGAGACTTTCTCTCTCTCTTTTCCTTTTTGATATGCACTCATATTCTATTCCATTGAAGTAGTTGAAGGAAAGAAGGAACCGACTTTAGTTATTTAACCAACAAAAGTGCTATTAAATTGTCTGATAAATGATTTAAGCCCTTGGTGATATGCATTTAATAGCTACAAAAATGGCCCAGGATAATTTAGTTATCAGTACTTGTCACCTTTCAGAATTACCTTTTTTCCTTTTAAAACACTTTAAAAGGGAACGTGACTTAAGTAGAGTGGAAGGTAATCTGAAGCCGCTCTATTGAAGACCTCGCATTCTACCCTCTTCATTCAAGTCAGAGATAACCTAGGAAACTGAGGAGTGACTGGGAGCCAAAGCTTGGTTATAGGCGTTATTTACAATTGTTGGGTTTTTAAGATACGTAGTAAAACGTCACTACTTCCCTAATTATCGGAAACATCTAACTAGATTCCATATGAATTTAAGAGGAATGTTCGTGTCGAAGTGCGTTACTTCAAAAACGTAATGCTCATGACTCTGAACTTCACCGTGACACAATTGTCAATGACTGCTTTGACTGAATTTACACCTATTCTCAGAACAAGAGTCAAAGAGTTGTGATGGCTCAGATGTGGTCCGAGAAATATCCTGCCACCCATGACGAGCCGTAACATCTGAAAGGGTATGCCGGTTGGTTCAATTCCATAGGGGTAATCTCGAAGGGGACTTAAAAAAGTAATTCCAGTGGAAAGTTCAGGTAATCAAATTTGAAATTGTGGATTGGTAGTGACTTAAGTCTCTACCATACTTTGAATTGCTATCTTGATTCGTTTAATGATTTTAGTTCAATTCGTCCCGTCTATTACTTAAGTGGGGTATTGAATTTCTCCTGCTATGCAATGCCTGTTTTAAATTTTACTAATTAATTGTAAGGCTGCCACATCTTCTCTTCGCCAACAATGTGTGATTGCTGAGTTCGTAGAGTTTGTGAGAGGTTGTTTTACCTAGTTTTTGCCACTCCCTCCCCTCACTGAGAAAAGAATTTATGCAATATAGTACAAAAATATGGTATTTGGTTCTTCATAAGTGCATTGATGGCTCACACCAGAAAGAAATTAATAATTATTGACTTGGCATAAACACTTAACCTTGTGACCTAATGTAACAAATTAAGACATGAATCCTCACGTTTGAAGTGGGCAAAACAGAATTGAAAATTTACAAGCTCTTAGAAACTATTTACACTTGAATTGATTCGTTTTTTCAGGTTGAATGACATGCGAAACCGCGGTTAGCTTATAAATGCTAATTCAAACCCAATTCTTTTTCTCATTCTCTCAAATTTGCCTAAGATTTATTTTTCGAACCATGAGGAATTCATCTATTTTTACTTTTCAGATTATTTAATTCCTTGTTAATAGGTTGATATCCTTAATTTGTAATGGCGTTTATAATTATTGTGCTACCATCGTCTCTGCGTTCTGCTTATCCAGTGGTAGAGGAGTTAGTAAAGATCGGATTTATGGTCTCTTAACAAGTTTATTCTATTTCGCATAGATTTCTTCCCAGATGTCATCATTCTTCAATATTATCTGCAGCCCAGTAAGCGTATATTTTATATTCTATTTTACATAAAGTAGTTTCAACACATTAAAGGCATTGGCTTCACAAATGATAAAATTTTTTCGAGGATGCAAAATAAATTCGAATTTCAGAGCAAAGGATTGATACTGACATCACTTCGTTAAACTCCGAGCGACGAAAAGAAGAGACAGGTTAGTATGATCATTAGATTTATTCTTAAATTACGCGTTTATAATTCTCTGGAATTTTTAAATTTCATTAATACTAGCCTTAAATTAATATAATACTTTTTAATTTCCTTTATGATGACATTTACACATCTTATTACTATTTTAACGTTAATAAGAAGATATCTTAGTGAGAAAATTTGTTGTTAAATTCTGAAAAACCTTCAATTATCCTGAACCAGTGGGTCTATAGCAAGCAGCTATTGTCAGCTTTGATTGTTTTAGAATTTTCTATCCGAAATGCTAAACGAGAATTTCTTATTCTGCCAACACATATTGTAGTGCTTAAAAAGGGCCTTGGAACTTACACAATGTGGTATGTAAAATTTATTTCTAAATTAGCTTGAGATAATTTATGTCCTCCGATTGATACAAGGAGTAAGTTAAATGAATCATTTGATGATTTAATTTCGAGATAATACCATATACGAAATATTATATACTTTATCATGAAGAAAGCTGTCAATTATATTTTAGCCATATATAAATTGAACATTTTATTTTTAAATACATTATTTTTTCCTCTATTTATTTGTTCTATAGATAGTTGTTTTACTACATCAAAGTCAGCATAATCATCCTCATTCGTCCTTCTAGATTAACGCTCAACGTTAATAGACACGATCGTTAAATCCTGCCTCGTTTCTGCAATGGTGAGTCGGTGTTAATTTTGTTGCTCTCTCTCAAGTATCATGTGATCTTTGTAAAATACATTTATATGTCTAAATCGCAGGTAAAATATGCACTAAAAGTACAATATATGTCAACATATTTTTAATACTCATTTTATGCTGACATCATTCTCTAATTAGAACTGTTAATTTGTTCTTTTTGTATATTTAGACATCAGATTATCAAAGCGAGATCCTCTGTCAATATCCCCTTCATTACCTCAGTCACGTAGGGGATGCCATAGGACTTGAGCAATGTCTCATTCGAACCAGCTTCAGCCCCTTTGATGTAGACACTCTTAACTATTGGACTCCTGCTCATTGGGCTGCTTCGGCTAATCAGCTTGACTGTCTCTCAGTATTAGCACGTGCTGGCGCCATAGATGTTGCTGCTGAGCGATCTCTTCTTACACCACTTCACGTAGCCGCTGAAATGGGTTTTGAAGATTGCGTCATTTTTCTTATCAGGAATGGCACTCGTGTTAACACGCAAGATTCAACGGGAGATACAGCTCTTCATAAAGCGGCTAGACATGGTCATACCGGATGCATGAAAATATTACTCGAAGCCGGTGCTTGTACAGAGTAAGCATTTGATTTCTCCCTCTATACATTTTTATTTAGTACTCGTAATTTTTATAAACGCACGGCTTCTGAAACAGCTGCTATTAATGGCCATTTTGCATTCTCCTCCATCATGAATGAGGCGAATCGGATAATGAAACAAGAGAATCAAATTCCGCAGGACAACAACATGGATACCAATAGTTTTATCAAGTTATCATGTAAGCGGTCAAGAGATAGTCTTGCTACGGTGGGCACTCTTGACGGAGACCTTTCTGATAAACGACTGCGTTTTTCGAGTAAGTTTAGTAAACCTCTTTTGTATGTTTCTTCTCCTTCTTTCCTGTGCGCCTTCTCATTTGCATATTCCTCACTTGTGAGCGCACATAGATGCCGGCGTAACAGCGGTATGTTAAACCCTTTAAAATTCTCTTGAAGTTATTTCCTTCATTCAATGGTAATAGAAGAGACTGAGCTCAATTTGTGCTTCAAATGGTTGCCATTCGTTATTTGGAATTTTTCCAAAATAAATAAATAAATGTTTTCTAGTATTCGTTTATAAAATCAATGCAACAATTTTGGTTTAATTTACCGAGATCTCTTTGTATCAGTAGAACTTGAAGCACAGTTTAGGTGCTCAGTGTATAATATTACCGTGTAGTAGATAGCCCTCGGTGTTTTATATCTCATTTTTCTCATATGGTTATTTTTTCATTGAATATCATTTTACCTAACATTTTTTGAGCGAAATTACCTTCGACATTTCGCTATTATTCCAAGCACGGAGAGTCTGTATTTGAAGTTTTCAAGTAACATTCTTATTTTTATAATAAGTCCAATCGTGGCATTGTTGAGTCAAAGGGGTCTTACAGTGTTACTAAATTGTTGACCTCTGGGTAGCTGCTTTCAGCTGACTGAGGACATCCACAATCCTCGAAATTTAGAGGATTATTACGAAGGTAAAGCAAGCGCAACAATCAAGACCCAAGGTTGGTAGAGAAGTTCTAGTGCACGAAAGTACTGACGAAAAACAGGGTGAAGAATCAAGCTTCCGTACCACCAATCATGTGGCCGATGTGTCATTAGCTTCTACATCCGAAATGTGAATTATCACGAAAAATGCGAGTAAAAATAAACTGATCAGGATTCTCCAGCTGACAAGCTTGAAAGCAGCTAAAATAAATTCGAAAATAATAACATGTTTTTTAAAAAAATGAATTAAATCAGTATTGATAAAATATTTTAGAAACATTTGAGGAGTCCTTCAATAGAATGGCACATTTGGCAGCGTTTGTTTAGGGCCGCTTAATAATTAATGAACTAATTCATTTTTGAAAATTTCATTTTCTCATTAGTTAATTGTATTAGAGGGAAATAAATGGACTGAGTGCTATTTATGCCAGTTAGTGATTGGGCATTGATGGGTTGCAGATCTATTAAAGATCTTGTAGTCTCCATGATATTACTTATGGATCGGCCTAACTTAGGCAGCCAAGCGTTAGCTCAAGTAGGGTACTAAAACGCACCCTTATTTTAGCCTTTTTTGCCCTTCCATTTTCACCTATCCGTCTTAGACATTTAATCAGCTACCCTACTTTTAACAATTTACTCTCTCTCTTTCATCTCCTATATTCCAGTGGTCAATTGTCCATCCATTTTGGAAGGTCTATTGCCACCGAATAGTCTCTAAGATAATTCGATTTTGAAGTGAATATCCCAACCATATAATTGTTGGATTAGCTCAACTTTATTCTCATTACCTTGCTTACCAATTCCCTTATATACTAGCGTCATATGCTAGATTTATGTTTCTTTTGCTACTTAGCATCCAATTTCCTCAAGCATGTATGTGATTCAATCACTCGTTTTATTACTGTTGCCAAACGTTAATTTGTTTGCACCCATGCTTTCTTGACAATGTGCTCGCCCCCACCATTTTTGCTAAGGCCACCCTACTTTTCATTTATTCGAGGATAATCACAACACGTTTTTCTAGCTCATTTTTAATGTGTCTTACTTGATTTAAAGAGCGATTTAGCTGCCTTTATGTTCAGGCTTTGAATCCACCTTGAATCCATTTTAAATTTGGAATCTAAGGTTTTGTAGCGAGGACGGGAAACCAATATTTGAACACCAGTGTGAGGCGTCTTTTGGCACCTAAACTATAAAGAATGGAGAACCACTTCCATTGTCCCTGTGACATGAGAAGTTAATTTTCATTTTATCAACAATTTGCTCATCCAGGCCATTAAGATCAGGTGGAGGGTGTAAAATTGGAGGGAGGGTATTTAAACCACAACGAAAATTCTCAAGTCGAGTAGGAATGAACCGGTCATCATTTTAGGGAAAAGTATCTCTTTTATAGCCATTATTGACGAGTACCTGTTGGTGGCAGTTAATGGAGGCACAAACAAGGCTGATGTCAATGTGAGACAGAAGGGGATTCTGTAAAGCCATTCGTGTAGTTTTTTATGTTTGGCCTCGCCTGTTTTTTGCCTAAGCACTTTTGACGCTGGTAAATTTACCAGAGAAACAGGTTTAGCAAGACCGGTTTCCTCGGGTTGCTTGCACTTATCATCCACCAACGCCAATCGTTTTGGATGGCAAATAAGCCTTGGCTTGGATTAAATATTGTTAAATTAACCAAGACCTTTTGGAAATTTGGTCTTAGTGGACGATTTTCTCATATCCCTCTGGGCGGAGGGGGTGGGGGCATATTTGATTTGTCTAGTGATCAAGCAGACAGAGTTTTGGAACTGACTGTTTTTTTGGAAAGAATGGTTTAGAAGCAAGTTGTACTGGAATGACTTGGTTCATGAAAAATTTCATAGAATGAGTGAGGTTCGTTACTTTTACACTATACTGGGTGTCATCAGTTGGAATGCAATAGTTGTCAGAGTTGATACATCCTCTCGATACTTGTCATAACCTGCAAGCGAATCTCCGAACTCAGTACTAGTGTGCAGTCGTCTTAATGATGGGCCTACTTCGAAATTTGGCATAACAGCGTTTCCGCAGTTTAGCAGACTAACGAACATGCAAATCTTAGGAGTAATTATCACTAATTTTTTGATGTAATTTTTTTGTATGAAATGATTCATTTTTATGCTAAATTCATCTCTGGAATTGGGATTTGTGATGCTGCTAAATTACCGAAATTTTTAAGTCCTAATTGTTTGCTTTTAAAATACTTCATTATATTTCATTTCAATTTCGTCCGCATTAACTTAATCATGACACGCAAGTAGTCACTTCACGTTTATGTTGAACCAATTATCATTCGCAATCGAATATAAGTTGCAATATTTCCAAATCTCTCGAGGCAATCGTATCACTAATTATAGACCTAAGGTCTGTTGTGTTGGGTCACGCGCATTTTTACGTGCTAAGTGTCTAAGTTTATCAATTTATAAATACAATTTTCGAGCTAAGGCGTAATATTCAAAAATTTCTTGTAGCACAGATCTTCTGTCTCTCTCGCTATTGTTTGACTTTACAAATCAATCTTTAAATCTATTTCAAATTTTGGTTTAATTTGAGTTTCCTATTGAATTACCAGTACTTATTTATAATTATAAGTTAACTTATGGCAACCATTCGAGCACTAATTGAATTAAGTTAGGGAAAGCTTAGGGCTTTTATTTCTGACTTCGCATAGTATTAATTTATTTAATTAGTACATCTACCATTTTGGATTGAGAAGACATTTCCATTTCGTTAGTGACTTTATTTTCTCCGTTCTGTCTGTTTGGGCAACACAATGCCCCGATTGCATTCATTGGGATATGCCAGTTAAACTTGTCTCATATCTCGTACACAAAGTGACAGGTACAACGCGCAAAGCGTGTCTCTTAAAACGTTCTTCTATGATACCTGGAAATAGCCTGGAGATGCCATAATTAGACAAGGGATTTTTTTATTTCTGAACCACCATGCCAAGAGTGCAATTGACCGATCTGTTTCAATGGTATTGTCTGACTGAATATATAATAATAAATTCAAGTTTATTTACTTATCAATTAAAGGCAGGCAAAAGAATATAAAATACCGTGCAACCAATCATTGCAAACTTAATCGGGAATTCATGTATCACAATTTAATTCTATTATCTCCCAATCATTCAAATCGTATTTCAATTAACAATCCAGGGGTTAGCTTGTAGACATTAGCTTATTTTAATAATTCGGCATGAGTAATTGAAATAAATTATTGACCTAGTTTCTTTCAGTAAAAATTGATGGTTTTATCGAATCTTATTGTCAACACAATTGGCAAATTAATTATTTTCCTATAACTATATTAGAATTGATGTGTTTGAATCATCAAAGCAAGTGGCTACTTGTCATGGCTTTGAGTTAAAGTGGCGGTAGTCTAAATTTTGATTTCTCTACTTGGATTGACTCTTATTGAAGGAAGATCCCTCTAATTTCGCCACATTGTTCAATACTCTATCTTTAAGTGTGTGGGCTCATGGTCGCTTGCTGATTGGATGCGTCTATCTAAGTAGTGTTATAGACACATTGTAGTCAAGACACACACGCCACCACAAATCGTGCGTGTTGTTCCTATAATTAGTCTGGCGAGGGCATTTGTTAACCAAATACTAGAAGCAAAAAAAGGAAGAGCGTATTTTGGAAATTGCTTTGCAAACAAATTACATTTGTCCATGCATTCGAGTTACCAAGTTTGGCGATTTTTGTGTTTAAAGATGCCATCTTTCGGGTACTAGCAAGTATCCATAAATGTGTTCATTTTAATTTCACGAGTTTAATAGGAGCCTTTGGTTTTTGCGGTTAGGTATATTAAGACTGATTCCCATGATATTAAAAAAAACATCCTTTTAAGGAAATATGATTTTTCATCCTTCCAAGATAGAATCCAGTATGCTAAGATAGCTTTTTCATGGTTATTGTTTTCTCGTTTGAATAGTATTCAAATCGATTTATCTTTCATATTTCGTAAATTGTCATTTTACGGTTGTGCATTTATCCACCCATTTGTTTTTCATGAGATATGGACAGTTTTCCGAAATTCTTACTGATAAGTAATAATTAGTCGTAAAACAGTAACTTCATTGAAGAGTGTCAAAATGGCCGTATGTTCACATATAATATATTTTTTGTAACTGATATCGAAAAGTTTCAATTCGAAAATTTCCAAAAAGTTTAATTAAATATAGAGGGAATGTGGTAGCCAATAGATAGTTCTAAGTTTGTACTCGTTGATTGATTTAGTTTCGGTGGATGTGGTATCGCTTACTGTTGAATATTTAGTCGGATGCGTGTTGCGTTTCTGTCCATTTTCATCTCTATTTCACTTCCATTTGCACAGAATGCTTCGTGATGTTACCAATTGGATTTCTAATGGTCTACTATAAGCGAATGTTGGGTGTTCCTAAAAAGTACAGAAATTTAGAATATGCCATGCATGGCAACGAGATTTTGTATCTAGGACGCGAAGTACAAATTTAAGTATCAAAATAATTATTAATCACTTGTGACTTTGGAAATTCATCACTGTAATAAACGTATCGGATAGGTTTATCAGTTGTTGACATAGTGTTCTGGAGTGTTTCAGTTTGAAGAATAAAATCTTATTTATCAGTCACTGATGGTCTGAGAATGAAGAAGCCATGTGTTTGAAACCTAAATTGTCAACTGTGTGTGCGTGTGTGGGTTATCAGGGGCACATTGTTTTAGACACATACATTCACTTCGCTCTTTTTTATTTAAGAGCACTGGTTGCGAAATACCCTGTGGTATTTGCTTATTTTAGAATATTTATTTCAAATGGCAGGCGTTTTGATAGCTATCATTAGTCCTATAGTTGACTTCAGGCTTCACAGAGGGGGAGGAACATCGAAGTAAAAAAATTGAGAGGGGGTGAACAGAGGAGTGTTTCAAAGATGTAAGAGTGACAGATACAAAGGTAGAAAAAAGGTGAGGTGATTATTGTGGAAGTAGTGGAATATGGCATAGAGTGGAGTGATGTTAGTTTGAAGTCAAAAGTCAACTACCGAATAGTAGACTTTTTTGTCACGTGAGTATACGTTGCCCAGGGTGCACCACGTGGAGGTAAGTCTATTGTGAACTCCCGTTTTAGAATGTGGATACAATCTTAAATCGCGGGAGTAGTTTATTCTGCCCTTTCCACAAACCAATAGAGGCATATTCATGTTATACATGAAATGAGTTGAGTTCATCGTATGTCTTTGTTGATGACTATTCGAATATTTCGATTTGTTTATCGAGAGTGAATTCATGTACATAAATACACACCCACACGCACACAGATTGACTGTCTAAGTTGTCAAAGCCAAGCAATTATGTTTAGTAAAATCGGCCATTTAAGCATAAATTAAGTTTCATATACTGCAGAAATCATCTGGGAGTATATTTTTGGTCCTAGAGGAATTTGCACCTTGAATAAACAAGGAAAGCAATAAAACAAGATCTAAAGGTTATGAGATCACTTCGAATTCGAGAATAACAAGAAGGGGGGGTTGAGGAGGGGGACAAAGTAAATTACCTCGTATGAATTTTGGGCCCGTCCGATTGCACTTTTTTCTAATTAATGAGCTATCTTATCGCCTGATACTCTCTGGTTCAAACTTTCAATTTTCGGGATTAAAACTCTGATTTTTTGCCCCTGATGTGGACCAGATTATTTCGATAAATTCCTTCTCTACTAGTTACGAATCATGATTGGTGTGATTTCAACATGATTTGTTTTCAAATGCTATCTTACATTATCGTATATTAATGACTACGAGCGTAAACGGCTTTTGGGAATTTGTTGTTTTCGTGATTTCGAGGTATTCTCTCGGTTATTTATTTTCATTGCAAATTCAGAATTCTGCCTTGGTTTTTTTTAATTTTCTTAGATTTAAAACGTGTGGTCAGCTCTGAATTTCCAAAATATTCAATTATGTATTCTTAGAGAGGCTTTCAAACACAGTGATCCACGAGACAGTCACAAATTTCTAAACTACTAAAAAAATAATATACAAAAATAAATGAATAAATTCATTTAGGTTAGTTAGGTAAATTAAGAAAGGGTACCGATTGTTACGCACGGCTGTACTAATCTTGCCAATACTTTATGCTTGAATCTTTTCCTAACTCTCTGTTTTGGAATGTTTTTATTCGTATTCTAATTTCTTTTTGTTTAAATGTATAGATTTGTGACAAGTGCATCGTTCAAATAGATGTAAGATGAATTACCTGTGTCCTATCCTCTCCATCGGATGCTTAGTTTCTACGCTGTTATTGCTATCACTATTCGTCGTTAAACCGATAAAAACACAAAAGAACATTGCACATAATCAATTTCCTCACCGAAGCTATTAGGAGCACCCTGTTCCTATATATTTAAAAGCATCATGTACTACTAATTGATTGAGGAATTCGCAATGGAGAACACTAATTGTGGGAAAGCTTAGTTCTTACCTATGTGGGGTTAATGAAAACCAGAGCGCCCCAAAATCATAACAAGTACTTAATTTACTGAAATGACAAACCGATTTCAGTAGTACGACATGTGCATTTCGGTCGCTTTCAGCGAATTTTACAAAAATTTCTCAACCAACTGGTGAGACTAGACGAGACACATTCCAGGAAAATATTTCTAATTCCCCTACTCCACTTCAACTGGAAGCGTGTTATCGAATCAACCAATAAGATTCCGCTACGTTCGGCCAATGAGTGTCAAAAGAAATTTCTACCTTTTTATTTATAAGATACTCTCGCTCAGAAATGATGAAGCGCCATATTTTGAATTGACAGAGGCATTCTGCCCTGACCGATTTTATGGATCATCATATACTGCTTACGCTTTAAAAGTAAATGAACGATGCAGTTGTTACATTTTTTGGTGCAGTTCGGTGGAATAAATTTGCTAAACCATTTTCTTCAGCCTACATCACACTCAAAGAGTGAGATAAATAGGGAGATTCAAAGAAGCAGGAAAAATGCAAAAAGTGCCTCATTAAAGCATCGCAAATCAACAATGCCAACTGTCTTTCTCACAAACAGCGCCGATTGGCTGCAAACTGGATTGATCGATGCGCCAATCAAAGTCAAGCTTCTTCAAGTCTCGCATAGTGATTGGCTGGGAGGGAGTCTGTGGCAGTAATCTTCCAACTGCTACCACTACTACTACGGCGCTCTATGGCGCTGGTAAGAAAGCTGGTCATTAAACCAAAACTCCTCGGAGTCACAAAAATTGTTCCCTGTCAGAACCCAAGTATGAATCACACACACTGAAAATATACAAAATACAAATTTTTAAGTAGTTGTTTGGCTCTGCTCTCAATTTCTAAGACTTTATATTTATTAACAAGCTGGTGCCACCATTTCAACCTTTCTCTTTCGTTTCTTTTCTAATTTTTCCCTTTATCAGATTATTCTTCCTTATCTAACTCAGAATGAGTAAATTCTGAATTGGCGCCTTAAGAAGAATGGTAAGGAACAAATTAAATGAGGAAACACTTTCGTACTTCCGAGATAGACTGGTTTACTGTGTCTTACTTGAAAGCTGCCAGCGTTCTGTTCTCGAAGAATCGCCGAGTGTCAGAAGTTCATGGAATACCGTATGCTTACGGCGACGTGGATTTTGCATAGTTTATTAGTTCTAAATCGAGAGAAGTATCTCATTATCTAGATTTTGAGGGGGTGTTTTGAAGTCCAAAATCTTCTGTTCCAGATTATTTAATTTTAAGCCTTGAGTTCAAGGTTTATGATTGGAATCCTAATGATAATGCAGCCTACTTTGATGTTGAATGTTGAGCACCGATAATTCCAAGTGCCTTAATCGTATCGTTATGTTTCGTCTAATATTTCCATTGAACAGTTAACAGCTGAAAGGATTGTGAGGCTTTGCCGTCAACGTTTATTTTACGAACTCGGCTTTCTCAGAACTCCGATCTTTTTGCGTTATGGGCACTTGGTTTTGTCTCCCTCAAGGAGATTCATCCTTTTACCATAAAAAGTCAAATCAATTAGTAAATATTGACCCTACAATTTGAAATGCCGGATACGTTTCTGATTAAAGTTTCTTTCTCCAGATAAACTGAAAGCATCTTTCAAGCTCCATGTTACTCTTTTTTGCCTACTCTCTTAGCTTGGTGTGAGCTACTGTAATCTGATTAATGGACGCGAATAATCACCTTCCCACAACCTAGCGGATTTGTTCTGTAGAACTCACGACTTATGTATAAGTCACCTACAAAGGTTGTGACAACTCTTCGTGTTTAAAATGAGAGAAATCGCGTATTGCTTTGAGCAACATTGTAGCATTCACAGAGTCCTTGTTTTGTCGTTTATCGGTGTCATGATATTAGACATGTTTTAGAGGACTGAGAATGTCTTAATTCCAATCCTAGAGTATATGGATAAGGCGTGGGAAAATGTGAGCTCATTTGAGACAGATTTTCTCATCTCATGTATTTTCTCATTTGGTTAAGTATTTCAGAATTTCCAGCGGGAAGCCTTTTGTTCTGTGTTCGTGTTTTTTTTCTCTCATAATCTTTACTCCTTCATATAAACTAAAGCATTCTTTTACTTCTGCTCTCATCATTTTTTCCCACTTTAAGTCATGCCAATAATAACTACCTGTTGTAACGATTTTCAAAGATCATTCGAAGGGCTGCTTCTCTATGGAGGTTGGAGGCTAAATCAATAACCATATGTACAGGGATTAATTGACTTGATAAACGATGTTTTCTCATGAGATACTTTCATGGAGTTGAAGAATTTCCCACCAAAAGGCTATTACGGTTGTGATGAATACAACATATGCTAATTTAATTGGTTTCTCGGACACCAATCTAATGAATGTTGATGTAAATCACCATTTCACCAACTACCTATTTCATTTGAGGAAGTAATTAGCTCTTCTAATACTTTGGAATAATCATGAATTCCCTCGCGTTCTTGTTTGGTGGAAGAAAAAATAACAGATTTGACTAAAGGTCCAGAACTCGACAAGTTGCTTGCATACTTAAAGGCCAGAATTGACCAACAGGGGCATACTCGGAGGTGAAGATTCTCTTCTCCACTACTGCCACAAAACTTTGATCTGAAACAAATGGGGGGGGGGGTATTGCGTCACCTGGGATCTACCTTCCTGTTAGTTTTAAATGCGCATTTGCATTATTGGTTCCATGGACATGGTTTAGTCACTATCCGCTTCTTTGGCGGAAGCTGTGAGCTGGAAGGAAGAGTAGATTTCAACAAGAAAAGTAACACCAACCAATGACAGATCTTGATGACTAGGTCGCAAATATTCAGGAAAGCAGATGACAGTAATTAAGCTCAATTGTGAGCCTTAGCATGGATATAAAATCTGAAAACAAGATTTTCTAGTGTCCTTTGAGGGTGCCAACTTCTATTTTGGTTTCAATGGGCCAGTTGCTTCACACGACTAGAAAATGTTAATTTAAACCTTAATTGGAAAACACTTCATACCTAATTGAAGTCCTATTAAAATTGCTATTTAAGGATAACGTGGTCATAAGGTGGCTGGTAAATTATTATTGGCATGACTTCTACTTTTTATTCTCCGATAATTTGCCTTTACTCTTCTGTCATTCTCTTCCACAGCCAAGTTCTCTCCCTGAATCCTTTTTAAGTGGCACCAGCTATGTTCCCACTTTAGGCACACCCCCTGCCATTTGCGTTGATGTCTGATTCGCTCTCAATTTAGCCGTTCAGACTTTCATACTCTATGCCATCTCTATTTCTCTTTTTTATCCAAAGATCCTGTAAACCAAATCGCCTCAGAATTGGTCGGGAATAATGGACACAAGCTCTGGAGGAACGAAGTCCAATCGAGCGTTTTCGAGCACGCGGCTCAGTTGATCATAGCTGAGACTTACGACGACTCCTACGCCGCTTGTTATGCCAAATCCGTGAATTAAGTCGCCGATTCAGACAATTAAACAAAACTCTTAAACCCTCATTAACCCCGCCCCCACCCCCAATATTTTTATTCTTCTGCTCACAATGGTTGTCTTATTTATATCTTACACTTAATTGCATTAACTATCTAAAATTATCGTCAACAGCACCCAATAATTCGTTCCCACATTGTACAGTGAAGTGTTGAATTGTTTTGTTTCTCGCAACTTGTCGACGATAACAAAAGTAACACAACAAGAATCTATTATAACCGTGTTTTCGCTCTGTCATAGTCTTTTGTCATTGTCACTTAAATGCATATACTCATATGTAAATGTCTTTGGCTTTTCCTTGACTTGGGGAGGCATGTTTTTATCCTTGATAGGATAGGAATGTTATTTCTCAGAACATAAATAGGAGTGAGTGAAGGAATAATGATTTTTGAGGAATTCATAGCAACCCTTGAATTAATCTAACTACAGAAATTTTTCATTTTCTTATTGATTGGCTAGAGCGTACCACTAAAGGTATTGATATAAAGGCATCAACTCATACCGGTTAGGGTGATATTGTAATATGACTGTGCCCTAACTGATAATGTGTCATGGTACATTTGCTCAGGCCTAGAGGGCAGAGAGTTCAAAATCCGTAACTCAGAAGGCGGTATTCTTATCAAGAACGAATATCTGCTTGTAGAAATGCGGATCACTAGGCTACCCGATTGGCCAGCTGTCACAGTAGCAGCGAACTTTGCGCTCCCCCAGACAAGGACGTGGAAACCAATAATCGGCAAGTCAGCTCACAATCGATGAATCTAGCGCAATCTGACCTTTTACAGAAAAAAAATAATCCGTTTCGTTACCCGCAGTCTAGTTGTGACATTGATCTTTTTACAGGAATATTGGATATGAGAAATCAGTTGAGGGGGTGAATTTTGAATCATTTTTAAAGTAGTAGTACTTTGCATGCTCATACGAGATTATCCAGGCCAAAGGCATAGCAACGAAGTACTTTGTTGGTTAGAAAATGAATCCAGAACTAACATGATTGATTACAGCAGGCATTAATTAATTCAGCTTAAATGAAAATGGGAGTATTGAAAGCTTGCTGTACTACTTAAGTAAATTCAGGTGGCTAGGAGTCCAATCTCCTCACCGAAATTATTCCTCAAACCATCTTCTTAAAGTATTCACTCGCTTTCCCAGCAAGAATAGAGAAGAAGATTGACACATGATTTATGTTAATGAAAAAAACAGTCAAAGAGAAAAATCAAAGGCTGTGAAGTGGCAGATAGATCCAAGTAGTTGTTGTGGCAATGTGAAGGTCAACAGTGCCTATCTTAATATCCAAGGATAACATAAGATTCAGATTAGAATTAGACGGTCCACCAGGATATAACAACTTAACTGCTTTACATTTCTAAAAATATAAATAAACTGTTTGAGGGCGCAAGAAGGTCCTATGCATTGGGTGATTAAGAGCTCCATGTTCAACGTTGAAGGCGTAGTAAAATATACTTGAGGCCACAGAAGCTATAGTTCCCTCCGTAGGGGGGATCTAGCGATAGGAGAAATCTGATATACTCATTTAGCGTATGCCTAATGCATGAATTAAACCACCGATTCAGACAATTTGGCATAAATTATGACCAATAGGTAAAGAGTGCTTATTTATTTTTTTATTGTACCTGGCTTAAAAAATTATCAATCAATAGAAAAATAAATGCTTGGAGCAATAGGAATTGATATATCGTAATTGCTTGCAGGGTTAATCAGAAATTCGAATATAAAATACCTTATATGCAGCGAATTTTTATAAATTTAATTTCTCATCGTTATGTATATTTACGCTTAACATAATCACGTTTATTTAATTAAGATGCCCGTGATTTACACAACTTCGCATACTCACGAGAGCGTGGTGATGCCGACCAATGAGAATATTCCACATTTGTAACCGAATTTTCCATTGGTCAAGTATAAGTTAAATCTGCTCTCTTTTTCTTTCCTCCTTGAGATTTCGCGTTAAATAAGGATTTAAAAATTTAACACTTAAATAGGACTAATTAACGACGTCGAAAGAATGTTTCCATCAAATAGTCTAACCGGGAAACATTCCGTGTGGATATTTAGACGGAACAAAAGTTAATTGCTAATAAGGTGATCTTTGATTAGTATAATCTAATGCTATTCTAAAACTCACTGTTTCATATGTCAGTAAAGTCAAAAAAATTTTGGGTGGATTGACAGTTTCGGATCAATAAGTATATAAATCTAATTCATCAGAACTTATATATATATATATATATATATATACTTAGGGCCGGAATACCGTAGAACAAGATCATCTGCATAAAATAAGCACTTGGTGCCAGTGACTGTCTGTACCATTTCGGCTATGTCATTGATGAAGAGGTTGAAAAGAGTGCAGTTTGTGACAGCTCCCTGTGGTAGGTCTGTTTGTAAAATATTTATTTATATCGAATGGCAAGCATGTTCCCAATTATTTATTTATTTATATCAAATGGCAGGAGTTTTGAAGATAGTTATCATTAGCCCTGGAGCTGACTTGGGGGCTTCACGGGGAGGAGAAGGGACATCAAAGTGACAAAAAGTCGGGATGGAAGACAAAATAATGATTCACAGAGGTAAAAGAGACAGACGGACACAAAGGCATATAAAAGGTAAGATGAGTACTGTGAAAGTAGTCGAATATGACATTCAGTGGGGTGATGGTAGTTTGAAGTCAGAAGTCAACTGCCGGTTAATAGACCTTTTTGCCGTATGAGTATACGTTGCCCAGGGTGCACCACGTGGAGGTAAGTCTAATACGCACCTCGTTTGTAAAAGATTAGATTTGGACAGAGCGTTTCCATATCTGACTTTACATGATCTTTGCCAAATGAATGCTTTTATCCAGTTTAGCACATTATGCTTAATACCAATCTTTGCCAATTTTAGAAATAGCTTCTCTTTCCATACTAAGTCATATGCTGATCTGAAATCGATGAATACAGCCGTAAGAATATATCTTGCATCAATTACCTTATTGAAATTTTGGGAGAATGGCTACTCGTTGGCATATTAATCTTTGTGACCTAAAACCTGCTTTTTCGTTTCTAAGACCATTGTTGGTCTCAAGTAACAAGGTGTTCACACCTAAGAATATTGTTAGTCTCAAGGAACCAGGTGTGCCTCCTGTAAACCATTCTTTCCATAAGTTTAGCCAGCACACTTGTGAGGATGAGGGAGATAGGGCTATAGTTGTCAAAGTTGCTAGGGTCCTTGCCATTTTCCTATAGTTGTCAAAGTTGCTAGGGTCTTTGCCCTTTTTCAGTACTAGCATTATTTTGGCAACTCCATTGGTTAGGTACGAGACTGGTCTCCCAGAGTTTGTTAAAAAGCGTCAGCATGATTTCCTTGGCTTTTGCTTCCATTCCAACTCGAAATTCCGGATGAATACCGACTTCACTAGGAATTAGCTGTTTATCGCAGCATTAAGTTCGCAAGGTCGGAATGGTTCAGTAATTACATCAGCATTAAGTTCGCAAGGTCTGAATGGTTCAGTAAGTACATTATTTGGTATTACCGTGTCCTCCTTAATTTCACCCAACTGTCTTACTTGTATCTTTAAATCTCTTTAAAATTTTCTGACAAGAGGGTTTTCCTTTTGCTTGTGGAAATAGAACCTTGCAAAGTAGTTAGCTATTTCAGATTCGGTGGTAAGCAGTTTGTTGTTTGAGTGTAT